TTGTGGGCAATGGAAGCCTTTCCAGAAGGGTCTGGAAGTCCTTCTACTGCTGTGGGCATGCTTTGGAGAAGTCACCCAAGTAGTTTATGGAAAAACCATTGAACAGAGTCAACAGGACTGAATTGCAGTTCTGTATTATTCTGGGCATGTATTTTCCTGTCTGCTCTTAAAGGGCTCAGCCATCTACCCCAGATGAGCACTCCATGATGCTAAGCTCTGGGCAGGACTGTGCTCTTCATAAATTCACCTCACAGCTTTGTGCAGAGAGAGATCTGGACCTCACGCAGAAAAGAGCAGAAATGATTCCTCAAGAAGAAAGGCACTTGGCCTCACCTGCAGCCATGGAGAGCTCAGAGTTCTGGTGCTTTCATTAAATATTTTCATTATATCTAGAAAAACCTGATCTTTATACTCAAAACAGTTCTGGAAAATAATGGAGCAGATCACATTGCAGGGAGCACAGCCCAGGATGAAAGTGGAATCACAGGGCAACCCTAAAGAATAACAATTTAAGCACATCATTAAAGCATACATGTGAAAAACACTTTGCCTTTGAGACAGCAAGTAAAGGTTATGTTAGAAAGTTTGTCAGTATTTCTCCTACAAAATCCCTTAACAGCACAATATTCAACATGCACAAAATTAACACATCACTTTTACCTTGATCTGAATAGCTAGTTAAACAATGCTTTTAAAAAAATATTAAAATCATATCCACTGCCAATACTTGTGCTCTCTTCAGAACCCAATATTCCTTTGCCCAAGGGATAAAGAAGAAAATATTTAAAGATACTATATTCAAGAGAAATAGGAGAGAATGTAAGTGTATCCCTTGGGTGGTTTACAATCCCCTTGGACAGGCAAGATGCAGAACTGGCAGAGAACAGTAGGGGGCACACCATGCAATACAAACTTAAATTCTGAATACAAGCAATTGGGAAAAGGATTATAGAAGCTCAGGAAAGGAAAAGGACAACTTTTAATTAGTTGTAAGAAGTGGTTGTACTTGACATGGCCTTGAGTAATTATATTTTGTAGTATTTGTGTGGTACCTCAGCATTTTCAAAGCCCCTTCAGTTAAACTCACCAAATATATTTCACACTATTGTTGTTAGGTATTACTGTGCCCATTTTAAAGAATAAGAGGACAAGGTCCTGGAAGCAGGAGAGATTCAGCCAGAGTCACATGGCAAGATAGGGGCAACGCTGGGATTCAAACCTGGGTCTTTGGAGTTCAAGTTCAATGGGCCATGCAATGCTCTCACTGCTTTCTAATCCTATCATTCTTTGCCTTTAAATTAGAATCTAAGAGCAAAGCCATGAAGCAAAATGAAAATGCAATTTAAAAATCCTGGGTACAAAAATAGAATCACAGACATAGAAAAGAGACAGATGGTTGCCATTGGGGAGGTTTGGCGGAGGGGTGGAATGGAGTGGAAAGTTGGGGTTAGCAGAGTTAGTTACTTAGATACTAAATAACTCAGTTACTTAGTTACTACTTCAGATATCAGAGTTTGGCAGAGGGGTGTTACACATAAGAGTTAAGTATAAAGTGGGTAAACAACAAAGTCCTACTATACAGCACAGAGAACTATATTCATTATCCTATGGTAAACCATAACGAAAAAATATTTTTAAAAGAATGTGTATATATATATATATATATATATATACACACACACACATATATATATGTATAACTAAACCATTTTGCTGTACAGCAGAAATTAACACAACATTGTAAATCAACTATACTTCAATGAAGAAAATTGATTAAAAAATTATTTAAAAAATTTTAAAAGATGGCATTTTCATATAATTTAATTACTAACATTGTAAATGCTGATTATCATCCGTTTGAAAATTCTGTAGAAAATTAAGCACTGGGGACTTTTCAGTGGTGGTCAGTGGTTAAGAATTCACCTTCCAATGCAGGGGACATGGGATCTATTGGAGAACTAAGATTCCACATGCCACAGGGCAACTAAGCCTGTGAATCTCCACTAGGGAGCTCGCGTGCTACAAACTACAGAGTCCAAAGGCCACAACTAGAGAGAAGCCCACATACTGCAATCAAGATCCAGGATGCCACACCTAACATCAATGTAGCCAAAAACAAATAAATATCAAAAAAGAGAGAGAGAGAGAAAGTCAGAGAACAATCAACTGCAATCTCAGGGTATCAGTTATATGGATGAATTATATTCATATAAAGGATTTTTCTGAATTTTTTTCAAATCATGGAAAATCTGTACTAGATAATGTACAATGCTGCTTAGAACTTCAAGATAAAGCTATTTAGAAAGAAGACAATGTGATAAATAGATACACTGGAATATTATTCAGCCATAAAAATGAAAGATTGTATCATATGCTACAACATGAATAAAAAGTGAGAACACTGGGCTAAGTGAAAATAATCAATTACAGAAGAACAAATGTTGCATGATTTCACTTATATATGAAGTAGCTATAGTAATCAGACTCATAGAAACAGAAAACAGAATGCTAGTTGCCAGGGTCTGGGGGAAGAGGAAATGAAGGTGACTCCAGTAGGCCTCTGCCCCTGACCAACTCATGCAAAGAATGAGATCTAGAAACCTCATCGTGTCCCTATGGAACTCATCATGTAAGAGTATCAGCCAGTGTTGATTTCTTTGTTGCTGTTGTGTGATTATTTTAACGTACTTCTGTATGTTATTCAGGTTCAAGGAGATATTTCTCAAAAGCCAATTCAAACCAGGTTGGGCCCAACCACAAGACTGGAGACTGAGCACACAAACCAAAAACTGTCCAAAAGCTACCTTTGCTTCATGTGAATGCTAATATCTCCTCTGTAGTCAGAGATTAAGGCCCATTAACATAGTACATGATGTATAAAGAAGCATGCTCCCAAGCAAGGCTTCTGTGAAATTATGACCACCTTTATATGTAATGACAAAACTTTCCTGCCAAATATTCATTCCCTGCACTGATAAAAGGACAAAACTTTTATCAAGAAAGCCAGATAAGTGACTCAGGGTGCTGAGGAAGCCAGAGCTTTGAAAAATGATTCCCTTTCCTAGATGCGAATAAACACTTCAATTCATATGTCAATTACTCGGAGTTGTCTCTGATTAAACACCGAGAAGTGAACTCCTTTTGGTATGGTAACAGACAGTCGTAGTTTAAAGAGTACAGAGTATCAGGCATGTAAGATGAAAAGTTCTAGAGACCTGCTGTATAACAGTATGATTATAGTTAACAAACTCAGTGTTGTAAGTAAGTATTCACTTAACAATTTGCTAAGATGGTAGATTTCATATTAGGTGGTTTTTTTACTATAAATTTTCAAAAGGTGTTGGGAAGAAATGGTTAAGACACAGATAAAAGAAACATGTATCTTGGGCTTCTATGCCAGGTTCCAGGGTCCTAAGTCTTAAAAAAAAAAAAAAAATTATTTTAGCTACACTGGCAGAGGTAATTTGGAAAAGAGGTAATTTGGGGCAAGTATTTCTTTGTCTATATGTGAGTCAAAGGTAAAATCTGATTTGCTGTCATTTGTTTCACTTAATACAGGATAAAAAATTTTAAAACAGCAGAATTAGGGACTTCCAAGGTGGTCCAGTGGCTGACTCCATGCTCCCAATGCAGGGAGCCTGGGTTCAATTCCTAGTGAGGGAACTAAGTCCCAAATACTGCATCTAAGACCCCGTGCAGCCAAATAAATAAATAAATATCAAAAGACTAAATAGTGGAATTTGTAATATAAGCTGAAAATTAGAGTCATTACAACAAACACTTTATAGGTGATTACACCTGATACTGCAAGGTAAATAATTACCATACATTTGTTACAAAGTCCAATAAAGGTGGGGCAAGTTTGCAAATTGAAAAGGGAGCCAAGTTTGACTTAGAGAAGACAGGGTAAGCCGGTGTCGAAATGTTGAAATCTAGTTAAATAAACATTTTTTATAACTTGGTATTTTACAGAATTATGACATAGCAAATATTTATTCAAAATATATAAATCAATACAGTGAGTATTATGCAACAGAAAATTAAGAGTGCTGATATTTTAAAATAGTGTTGGTTTTTAGAAAAATCATAATAGATGAGAATTGCAATAAGATATCCCTAAATGATTAAAATCATATGGCATTAATATTGGCAGGTATTGTAGGTTTGGGCCCTGGAAATACTCTCAGACAAGTCTGTGAGGATGATAAATATAGTTTAATTAAGTGAATGTACATACTAGTTTCACACTCCATAAGCATATGAGGAGGTCATTCCCACCCTGTCCAGTTAACAACTATTCCCTGCTGAAATGCTCTGAACTAGACCATCCATATTTATGCTATGAGAAAATACTGTTTTCTCACTTTGTCAGGAAATTATTCAGAATTATTTTTTGTGATTTCTGATGTGAAAACAAAAAAAAAGTATCAGAGAAAGTATGATAAGTGATCTTTAAACCCACACTGTGTGCACAATCATGGGTATACACCAAACAATCAGCTGGCTACACAAAACTCCCTTGGCTTCCTCTTCTTCACAGCCTCCCCCTCAAAGGAAGGGCTGGCAATCACGATCCATAGGAAAAATGCGTCTACTCCTGAAATGTTTCCAAGGGTGTCACTGGAGAAGACAGCAGTCCGTTAAGGTCAGAGTTACAGAGCATAGAATCACCCACCTTTGGTTTTTCTCAACTCCTCCACAAGGCAGTGTGCTTCCTCTTGAACTCTGTCCTCAATGCTCCTCTTCCCCATCCCAAAATTCCACAGAGTCATGAGGGAGAAGCGCCGGGTCTCCTTCCATCTCTTGCCATTGCTGAAAATGATTCCTACCAGGAGGAGAAACAGAAACTATTAACAGGAGGGAGGCCTTAGGCAAGGAGTGAGCTTACAGTTGGCAGCCCTTCTGGTGGATCCAGCTCTTCTGGAGGGCTCTTCAAATCCCTCTTTTCCATCCTCCTCATCCCCATTTTGAATGCAGGACATGTGCACATTCACACCTACCATGTCCTTTTCTAACTTTTTCATTCACTGGGAGATGGCCTCTTCCAGAAAACTCCTCTCCCAGATCAATCAGAGCTTCCTTTACTGCTTTATACCCATGCAAGACCACCATGGGCTTCATGCCAAAATACAGAGTGAACACAGGGCCATGGGCTTTTGAGAGCTGGGAATGGAGATGCATGTAATAACAAAAGAAGTCAATATTTGATAATACATTGTGCCTGTTGCAGAATGTGTTATCATCCTACAAATATGTTTTTCTTCTGCCACATACAGCCTAAATATTCCTGAATTCAATACCTAAACATGATGGTGATTGTTACAGCTTCCACTAATGGATGAACTGCAATGCCAGGCAATGCCAAGTAACTGGCACACAGATGATAGTTAATCCTCTCATCAACACCTTCAGCAAGTTTATTTGTTCCACTTATAAATAAGGAAACCATGATCAAGGAATTCCATTTCATTCCAGTGTCCCAGAGTTACTATATATAGAGGATTGAAATTTGAATCTCTCCTTGTTCAACTTCTGATCCTTGAACAATACATGATTCCTCAAAGCCCACCTTTAAACCAACACCCAGCTGACTGCTTCAGCGTTACATGTAGAGTTCTTCCCACAAGAATTCTCATTCTCCAGTCCTGTGATGAATGCTACAATTATTTTTTGAAGGATAGTTGACTTATAATACTGTTATAAAACTACAGTACTAGTTTCAAGATTACAGCACACTGATTCAGTTATATATATATATGTATATATGCTTGTATATATATATATGTATGCATACATACATGTATATAATATACATAATACATAGATATAAAACATGTTATTTTTTCAAATTCTGTTCCATTATAGGCCATTGCAAACTACTGAATATTCTACAACTCTATATTTTAAAAAATAAATTCAAATGTTCTAACGCCCAGCCTTGTTTGAGATCCACTGGTGTCACTAACACAGAAAGAGAGGAAGCATCGTAGAGGCAGGGAGAGGACATGCAGCATCTCATGGAAGAACATCATCATCCATCCTGCAGCATTCACAGGGTACAGACGGCAGCTCCCTGCAGAATCCAAATGAACGCTGCTGCTGCCGGTTGGACCCTGACTGATGACTTGTTTCTTTCACTCACTCACACTGGTCTTGAACACAGAGCTATTTCCTTAATACCAAGCCCAATGCACTTCTTCAGAAAAGTTCTGTTTTCATAGAATTGACCATCTGAACAAAATACACAGCTTATATAGTGTACATCTTCCACAAGGAACTTTTATTATTGCCAAACACTTCATTTACCAATTTACCTTCAGCCCCAGGCTGTGAAATAAACAAGGGAAGCAAATCTTTAACTTTTGACACCTTATTATTTTGATTGCTCCATTCAAAGAGCTAAGTGCTCCTCTACTCACAAAACACGTTATTTTGTTTCTCTATTAAAATGACAGAGCTAAAAAAAAACAAAACAGGAGAAATATCACAGTTTAGGTATATATATATATATATATATATATATATAGTTTTTTTAGTTTGGCTTAATTTACTTACTGTTTGCAAGACACTGGAGGAGCTTAAAACCTACTTACTTCACTTAAGGATTGGCTGATGTTCTTAACATCTAACTGTAGGATGTTTCCAAGAATCGGGAGGAGTGGGTCCTGGCGGGAGCTTCCCTTTCCCAGAGCTCTGTTTCCAGAGTGACAGAAGCAGAGAGCAGAGACAGAGCACCAGGGCCACAGCCAGATCCATTGACGCCATCTCTTCTCACTCAGACGGCTCTGATTCTGAAACCTAAAGCTTTTATAATAGTCCCTGTTAATTCAAACTTGGCCTCTCCCATATAAACAGGCCAATCAGTTATATCCACTTTGCACTGTATTCTGAGTAGACTTTACCCCACTGATAAAAATCAAGATAAACTGTCCTTTAGTCTTGTTTTCTCTGTGTCCAATGACCGCTCTGGAGATTCTGGTTTAATCAGAGTAGATGGTGTTCCAGTTATAATTTTAAAAAGTGTTTCCATCATGCAACCAAGATTGAGAACCACTGAAATAAAAAATCTAATGACAAAAAGGGCTTGAAAGTCTAGATTCAAATCAATGACCAGCTGGGAATGTATCACTTTGAGGACAATCACTGTTTATTTAAAGAGAATGCTCTATCTAATGCTAGGATATTTTGTCCTTGAAAGTGAAAGACTTCAAAGTATTTGGATGCATTGTACTAACATTGCACTGGTGGCTGTTTAATCACTAAGTCGTGTCCAACTCTTTGTGCCCCATGGACTGTAGCCTGCCAGGCTCCTCTGTCCATGGGATTTCCCAGGCAAGAATACTGAAGTGGGTTGCTATTTCCTTCTCCAGGGGATCTTCCTGACCCAAGGATCAAACCCTCCTCTCCTACATTGGCAGGTGGATTCTTTACCATGGAGCCACCACAGAAACCCAACATTACAGTTACCTACTCATAAAATAGTTAATGATGACATATTTAAGAAAATCAAAATGGAGTAACTATGGTCAGTAATTGTGGATGTGATTTCAGACATGTTCCTGCATCACTGACTACTTCAATTCTGAACTGTGTCAAACTCAAGTACTCCACCAGCCATTTGCAAAATGATATGTACTAGTAGCTGTTAACTGCAAGTTTGTAGTTTCAAAATTGCCTGCTTCACACTCTTTAATCACTTCAGACACAGCCATACTTTGCTTAACAAGCATCTTTCCATCTTTCCATCTCCAATCCTAATTATTTTTTTTCCCCTTGGCTTAAGGCAACATTAATTTATTATCCTGCAACTCTAGAGGTCACAAGTCTGAAAATTAAGGTGTTGACAGGGCTGCATTCCTCCTGGAGGCTCTCTGGAAAATCCATTTCCTTGTCTTTTCCAGTTTCTAGAGGCCACCTGCATTCCTTAGCTCACGACCACCTCCCCCATTGCCAAGGTCAGCAGCACAGCATCTGCATGGCTCTTTGATCCTCTTGACCTCCTGCTACAAGGACTCTTACAATTCCACTGGGCATACCAGGTAATCCAGGATGATTTTCTATTCTCAGCATCCTTACTTTTAAATATTTTTTAATTTTTTGTACAATTATTTAAGGTTACTTTCCACTAACAGTTATTACAAAATATCCAATCCTAATTTTTGACACAATTTGTAATTTTTGCCCTTATAAACTTCCTCATTTTGTAGTGTGGAAGAACACAACTTAAGTACTTCCTGGATATGTGTCTTCTGAGAAGCAGTCCTAACAAATCCCAAATAAACACCTCTTGATTTCAACAATTTTCCATTCTGGAAATTCATGGTTAGCAATAACATAATTCAAGCATCCTGAATGACCAAAGACATATAAAATAGTTGTCTAAGTAAATCAACATGACTTTTACTTGGAAATCCCAGGACTACCCCAAGAAAACAAACACTGGATGGTAGAGATGGTAAATTTGTGTTTTTCAAATGGGGGAAAGGGAGATTCTGGGTAAAGAGGACAACTGTCCAGTGTCACAAGGCTCATAATAAATAAAATTAGGATTTAAACTGAAATTTTCTGATGCTCTATCATATATACCACAGCTGCCTCAGGAACAATTTTAGAGAGAAAAAAAAAAAGCCAAATACCCTAAAATGGTACTCTGAATATGCACCCCACTGACAGTTCACAAAACAACAGGCATCACAGTAAATACATCTCCCTGCACTCCAAGGTGAAAAGGATCATAGATTCTCAAGCGGAGAAATGTTAAAAAGGTACTCTCCCCTCCTCATCAACAGAGGTAATACTCGCTCAGGCAATAGAAGAGCCAATCTCAAGAATTTATATAGAAGGCCTGTGGCTTAAGCCTCCCAGTTGCTTCCAAACCCAAATGCTTTATTGTCCTTTGGAGTTTGACTTTGTCAGAAATAATGAAATAAAGGGGGCTTCTCCTGTGGCTCATCAGTAAAGAAACTTCCTACAATGCAGGATGCAGCAGGAGCTGCAGGTTTGAACTCTGGGTCAGAAAGATCCCCTGGAGAAGGAAATAGCAACCCATTCCAGGATTTCTTGCCTGGACAATGCCATGGACAGAGGAACCTGGTGGGCTACAGTCCATGAGGTCACAAAAGAATTGGACACAACTGAGCAACTAAACAACAATGCAATAAAGTTTGTACAGTAGCAAACCAAAACTTTAGAAAATGAAGACCTGATTGATAAAAGAATCAGGATATTGCAATCAAGACATAGCAGTTGTTAGGACTGCAGCCCAAGAGACATAGATTCATTAAGTAACTGAATCAACTTTCACTAGACTACAAAAAGGTAGAGGCTTATAAAGGCAAAACTCACAACATTCTGTGAATTGTTTGTCAAGAATCATAGTTGGAGATGGCAAGTAAGAGTTCCTGTTAAGTAAACAATGGTTGAGGTCCAAAATTGTTACACTGTTAAAAGGGGAGACCTTGAGAACATGAGACTGCACCGTCAGGTGTTGCTCTGAGTAGGGCTGATCCTGTCCTTGCATCTCATAAATGTTAAAGAAACATCAAGTTCTCAGAGGTGCAGAGATAAGCTTGAGACTAGATCCTCGATAGCCTTCTGACTTCATTTTTGTGTGTCTGAACTGTGATTACTCCATTTTAATTTCAATTTGTCATCAAGAGCAAGGAAGAGAGATTTTACACAGAAAAACAGGTGTGGATTCATTGGAGGATCAGAGGCATGGACTTCATCAAACAGACCCACAGCACAGAACCACCAGTACATGCAGACCCAAACAGGAGATGAGAGTTAGTGGTCATGAAGATCTAAATATCACTGGAAGGATAAACATCACTAGATCCCTAGTGGCAGTGTTTTACAACCACATGTTCTACAAAGATATCATATATGTTTAAATTGATTAGTGCAGTTATTTCTAAGATCTTTGAGTAGGGAGAAGTAAATTTTTGTCAAGAACTAATTACAGTAATGTTTTATCCCTCATGTTTGCATGGATTCATGTTTTATTCACCATGTAAGAGAAGATTTTCACACCTATGATATCCCTTTATTCTTTCAATTATTTTTGCCTGAGTCCCTTGGACTGCAAGGAAATCAGACTAGTCAGTTCTAAAGGAAATCAACCCTGAATACTCATTGGACGTGCTGATGCTGAAGCTGAAGCTCCAATCCTTTGGCCATCTGATGAGAAGGGCCGACTCATTGGAAAAGACTCTCATGCTGAGAAAGATTGAGGGTAGAAGGAGATGTGGGCAACAGAGGATGAGATGGTTGGATGACCTCATTGACTCAATGGACATGAGTGTGAGCAAGTTTCAGGAGACAGTGAAGGACAGGGAAGCCTGGCATGCTGCAGTCCATGGGGTCTCAAAGAGTCAGACACGACTGAGTGACTGAACAACAACAACAGTAAAACTATTTCCATTTGGGGTTTGAAGAAACTGAGCCTTGGAGATTCAGTTCTTGTGCCAAGGACACAGTATCTGCAAGTGGCAGAGCTGAGACTGGAACCCACATCTCCTGAGGCATGTGTTCAGTTCAGTTCAGTCACTCAGTCATGTCCAACTCTTTGTGACCCCATGAACCACAGCACACCAGGCCTCCCTGTCCATCACCAACTCCCGGAGCTCACCCAAACCCATGTCCGTTGAGTCAGTGATGCCATCCAACCGTCTCATCCTCTGTCGTCCCCTTCTCCTCCTGCCCCCAATCCCTCCCAGCATCAGGGTCTTTTCTAATGAGTCAGCTCTTCGCATCAGGTGGCCAAAGTATTGGAGTTTCAGCTTCAACATCAGTCCTTCCAACAAATATTCAGGACTGATCTCCTTGAGGATGGACTGGTTGGATCTCCTTGCAGTCCAAGGGACTCTCAAGAGTCTTCTCCAACACCACAGTTCAAAAGCATCAATTCTTCGGCGCTCAGCTTTCTTTATAGTTCAACTCTCACATCTACATATGACTACTGGAAAAACCATAGCCTTGACTAGATGGACCTTTGTTGACAAAGTAATGTCTCTGCTTTTTAATATGCTGTCTAAGTTGGTCATAACTTTCCTTCCAAGGAGTAAGCATCTTTTAATTTCAGGGTGGCAATCACCATCTGCAGTGATTTGGAGCCCAGAAAAATAAAGTCAGCCACTGTTTCCCCACAAGCAAGCATTCTGTTCACCAGGGTCACCACATACTGATTATGAACCTTGATTCAATACTTTGTTACTCATCCCAGTCAATAAATTTCCAGATATATTTATTTGATTAATAATTACTAAACTGGTTGACTAAAACGGGTGTCAGGAAAGTTTGGTTTTGTAACCTGTAAACTTGGTTGAGTCTAACACTCAGAGTAGCTCTTATTTACAACAAAGAGAAGCAGTAATTTGCTGCCTAACTTATGTAGCTCTAAATTCTAAAAGAACTGAACAGTTTATTGTGGATGAAATCAATTTGATCACTTTCTTTAGAGCTGCCCTTTTATTCCTTGAGAGATGAGTGTGTCTGCTTTGATCCATTTTCCTTCTGTTAAAGCTCACTGCTTTTTATAGAGTGAAAGAGTCAAAGATAATTTAAAGATTGAAGGAATCTCTGACATCAGTTAGTCCAGTCTTTCTTTCTTTCCAATCAGCAATTTAGTGACAGTTGACAGTGGATAAGGTGTCCTCACTGCATTAGTAGAAGGCCTTGGGTTAGAATCCTAGTTTTCCAACTCCCAGTTCAGTGACATCACATATCAGTAGCATTCTTGTTGCTTTCCAAATGATTAGGAGAGCATCAGTATTAAGCTCTCCACTATCATAAAGTAATACAAACTTCAGGCTGACTAGAATTCTGGATTTGGATTATTCTTTTTAATTAATAGAATTTATTTTTAATTGAAGCATATAGTTAATTTCAATATTATATTTTTCAGGTGTACAACATAGTGATTCAATATTTTTATGAATTATGTTCCATTGAATGTTATTAAGAGATCATTGCCATAACTGCCTGTGCTTACAATACAGTCTTATTGCTTATCTATTTTATACAGAGTAGTTAGTATCTCTTAATATCATATCCCTAACTTGCCACTTCTCTTTCTTCTCCTCTTTGGTAACCTGTAGTTTGTTTTCTATATCTCTGAGTCTGTTTCTGCTTTGTATATATACTCATATGTATTATTTTTTAGATTTCACATGTAAGTGATATTATACAGTATTTTTCTCTTATTTCAGTAAGCATAATATTCTCTAGGAACATTCACTTTGTTTCAATTGGCAGAATTGCATTCTTTTTATGGCTGAGTAATATTCCACTGTGTTTGTATCACATCTTCTTTATCCATTTGTCTGTTGATGGACGCTTGGCTTGCTTCCATACTGAAAGGCTGTTGCTAAACCACGAAAGACACCGAGATTCTTGGCCTCCAGAGGAAAAGAATTCAATCTGGGGCCAGAGACGAGGCTTGATCACTCAGAGCTTTTGTATAATAAAGTTTTATTAAAGTATAAAAGAGATAGAGAAAGCTTCTGACATAGACATCAGAAGGGGGCAGAAAGACTGACCCCTGACTAGTGTTAGCAATGGAGTTATATACTTTTAATTAGTTATTACAGCGAATCAAAAGAATGTCCTGAGGTTGTAAAGACCTTACTAGACCCACTCCCATAAGTTAAATTTTAAGATAACAGGATTAGCCAGAAGGTTTTTTTCCAGAAACTGTCCTCAAGCAGGATACATTATTGTTATATAATCCAAAGGAATGTAGAGGGGAAAAAGTTTGTCCTTTCCTTCTCCTTGAGAATTCCAGATCACTCTCTCCTTGGGGACCCCCAGACTTCTTATCAACCTGCCTAGGAATTGACTCAATACCTTGACTTGTAAGTAGTGCTGCTATGAACATTGAAGTG